TTGTTTTCATGGATAATCAGGAATTACAAATAGAGAGTCAGCCTTTCAAATGAAAACACAGCATAAACTACATCCAGGCAGTGAAGGGAAATTTCCTTTTGATGTGTTGAAGCCAGGCAGATAGATGGAAGAACAATGTTCTGGTTGAGGTGAAAGGTAAACTAATTTAGGATAAAAGGAAGCTCTAGGCCTCAATACTACTTTATTCTTGTATAAGACTAAAACGGGTTCTTAACAGGATAAAGCCACCAGCTCAGACACATGTTTTGCAGAGGTGATGGCGACAAGGAATGCAACCATGAGTGAGAGTGGAAAGGGAAATATCCCCGACAGGTTCAAATTTTGGTCTTTGTAAAGCTGACAAAACCAAATTTGGATCCCACACAGTCATAGAAGGTTGAACAGGAGGAACCACATCAGAGATACCCTGTACAAAAGGATTCATAGAGGGAATCCATTACAGACTTGGTGATACCATGCAGGACTTTGCAATGAAGACATTAAGGGCCTTTTGGCCCAAGATAGGTGAATGCCCACTTTTGGTTTTGAAACAGTGAAAAGATTGTAGAACCTCTAAACAATTTTTATTAACCCTTGCAGTGTGGCTACCACTGCAGTGGAAGGACCAGCCTAAGAGCCAGCCAGCTTTGAGTATCAGGTGAGTATAACTTTGGCACTGCAAGGGTTAGGAAAACAATTCCTTTGAGTTTTTATTTACAAAACCTGCAAAAGCTGCATTAAGGTCTGCTAGCCTGAGCATAGACACAGGCAGGGACGACATTGTGAATCGGGGTGAAGGCAGACAGCTGAACTTTAGCTTGTAGTCCCTGGACACCACATCTCTTTTTCAGGCATCCAAGATGTCTTTTGACCAGGTGTCTGCAAAGGCCAATAGACATCCCCCCACTTTGATACATGGGGACGTCTCTTCATGCTGAAAAGGACTTATCTGCAAGCTTGAAGGATTTAGAAAAGCAAGATTTGCAGTGATATTGGCTTGACTTTTGCCTAGGAAGTCTAGGAGAAATGAAAGTAACTAATTTTGGTGTCAGAGGCAGGAGAAGAATTTTTTTTGTAGGCTGGCTGGTAATTTTTGCTGGGTGTGGGGACACATTGGGGGCTTCAGCAACCATTGTCATGTGCTGGTCTTCTGGTGTGTTCCTGTGCATTTAAGGAGGAATGGGCTACCTCCAGGCATACCTGCACTAAATGTATCCATTGCTATATATGCTCCAAGATGGAGTCTCTCATAGATTAGAGGTAGGACCACACTACACAGAGGAGCCTTGACAAGGCAGTGTGGCTTCCACATATTTGCAAAGGTTGTGCATCTAAAACCATTGCGTTAACACAAATTATCAGACCGTGTAATTCTTGTTTTTCAGGCTGGCTGGTAAGTGTGCTGGAAATTGTTTGTGTTGTAGAGGCAGTAGAAGAACTACTGGTGTAAGGTTTAGGCTTCTTTTGCTGTGGTGTGAGTACTTTTACCGTCAGTAACATCCTTAAAGAAGTGTAGCAGGGATGTGCCTAGCCTTTTTGCTGTCTATGGATAG